GCGGGGGGGGGGGGGGGGGGGGGGGGCGATAGGAAGTCTCTTTTTAATTATCATAATCCTCTCAATTCCTGCAAATCCCAGTCTTACTGTATATTGCCTGGCTTAAGTGTCTATCTGTTCTTATTTTTTGTTTCAAACGAAGTATCTGTTTATTTACAATTTAAGTATTATTCATAAATTACTTATAAAAAAAAGTGTTATTCACAAATTGTTCATTGTGTCCATATTAATTAATAAAAATTTGGGTACCTTTCCCCTTTCATTTATATATGACCTCCCTTTCATTTATATATGACCTGCATCTTGCAGCAAGAATCTAAATGATTTTTCTTTAATAAATAATTAAGAAAAATGGAAGAATCTGAGAAAAGAAGGGAAAGGCTGAAAGCAATGCGAATGGAAGCGAATCACGGAGGGAACGATAGCATTCTTGAGAGTTCAGGAATGGTAAGTCATGGCCTTTCCAATCCTTTGATTGAAGTTGAAACGGAAAGCCCAGCTAACTATGCTTCTTCGAGATTCGGCTATTACACGGATCCTATGGCAGCATTCTCTTCAAACAAGAAGAGTAGCCAGGTCTCTCATCAGGTTCCACAACAATATTACAACACTCCCCCAAGTAACTGATTCATTCTTCTTCTCTTGTATTTCTGTTGTCTTTATTGTAATCAATGTCTTTTCCTGTTGTTAAAATGTAGCCTGCTTCAATATGTGCTTGTGCAATTGGTTGAACATAAAATTTCATTAACATTGACTAATAGGGCATCTTTTACTTCAGTGCTATTTGAATTGCTTTCATACACAGTATATTAGCTACTATGTCATTTAGAAAAATGGTAGCTTGGATAACTTGAAAACAAAAAAGTGGTGGTATATTGGAATTTTGATTGAGTAACTTCAGGTTGTTGAAGACAATTTTAAGACTAAAGAAACATGAATTGACAGAGAGTGGAGAAATTTTTTATGTGATCATACGTGAGAGATTGATATGCTTACTGTTTCTGGATTATGGTGCCTGGTTTTGGAAGGACTGGGAATAAAATATAATGAATGATTTTCTTGTTTGATAGCGATGGAAAAGGGTGTTCTTTATTCATTTATCTTCAACAGCATGACTAAACTAAACTTAATTCACCTTGTGGAGTAAATCAGATATATTAATATTAAGAAGCCTGCTTAGATGAAACAACAATTAAATTTTGAAGTGAAGGTATAAGGTTATGAGTACGTCATGTTCAGAAGAAGTTCAAGAGATAATATCAGTTATTACTCATCCTTTTTCTCCCATTTTCTGTTCGATAGTCCCGGTACTGTAAACTAGGCTGTGAGGCAAAACTTCACAATGACTATTTGATTCACAGAATGTTTATTTTTGAGTGGCCAACACTCGTACAACTGAGAAAATGCAAGCAATTGCAAAGGCTGTTAATCTTCTTGGCCCCTTTGAGAAGATATTTTGCAGAAAACTTTGTAATGTCTGGTTCACTAATAGAAGTTCCACTTAGAATGTTACCATGACTCTGCCTGCAACACATGCACATTAATCTTTGAAATGATTAACATTTTTTTTCTTCTTTAAAGCGGGGAAATTGCAGTAGCGGTCCCTAATCTTTTCATTTTTTGCAGACTTTGCCCTAACTTTCATTTTGTGCTAGCGGAGGTTCCTAACTTTTTATAAATATGCACCTGAGGTCATCTGGACGGAATTCATCCAAAACACCGTTAGTTGATCGGGAAAATTAAGGAATCAATATCCAATAAAATCGTCGCGGTAACAGATAGTTCAAAGAATTTTCCAAGTCAATTGACTGTGTTTTAGACGATTTCCGTCCAAATGGACCTCAGGTGCATATTTATGAAAAGTTAAGAACTTTCGCTGGCACAAAATGAAGGTTAGGATAAAGTCTGTAAAAAACAAAAAGGTGAGGGACCGTTGCTGCAATTTTCCCCCAGAAAGCTTATAGCTCAACAATTGTTCTTCCAAAACCTATTTGGGGCATATTATATTTTATGGAAACTTGAAATTTTTGCATTATAAGCAGGCCATGATGTTATCATTTATTGAATCCCCCTTTTAACAGGACCAAGGCATCCAGATATGTCTCACTCCCCATCCTATCAAGATCAATCTATAAACTCTCCGGGTCGGAGAATATTCCAAGCACCTGGAGCCTATTACAACTATGGTCCTGTTGGGAGCCCATCATCCAGTCCTTCAGGTAGAAATCCTCAGAGCACATGGGGTGCACCAATTGGTGATTTTAATTATAGCATTTCATCTAATTTGCCAAGAGGCAGTAACTTTACGAGCCCTGGCTTTGGACAAGGAGGTACTCCTAATTTTAGTTATGGCCGGGGCAGAGGTCAAAGATACAACAGCAGTCCCTTGTATGGTTCAGGACGTGGAGCGAGTCCATATCCTGATTCAGGAAGAAGCAGGGGTAGATCATCAGGTTATAAAAGCTTTAGTCCTGGTTCAGGACAGAGAGGAAGGAGAGGAGCGAGTTCGCATGGTCCTGTCTCAGCAGAGCTAAGACCAGATATGTACTACAACCATGAAATGGTTGAAGACCCGTGGAAGGAGTTGAGCCCTGTTATCTGGAAGGGTCAAAATGTTAACCCAAACTCTGAGACATCGTCGCTTCCCAAATCCATTAGCATTAAGAAACCTAGAGTTTCATTGGAAGTTTCGAATAAATCAACTTCTGAGCCAAGCCTAGCTGAATACCTGGCTGCCTCGTTCAGTGAAGCAGCCAACAATGAGGCTGGAGATGATTAGCCCAGCAGCATATGAAGATTGTAATTTCCTGGATAGCTCGCCTCCTACAAATGCATCTGGTGGGTTGGCATATTCTGTAATGGATGCCAATTTGTGCCAGCAGTTTACTACATCTTGGAAACACCAACAAATGAACACAGGTTGAGATCAATGCTTTTGGTATATCTGTATTTGTAGAATGTCTGGTTGTAACATTTTATCTAGTAGCCAACTTTTTTCCTATCTAAATTGTGTTGAACAAGCGTAGCGATGTTCTTCTTTCCGATAAATAAAAGTTTAAAGAATCTTTGAAAGTCATAATTGTGGGTATGTTGCTGCGTAATGTATCCTTCTGGTGTTCCTCCTGGCTATTGAGTAGTTGAATGAAATGTGAAGAATAAAAGTCCTGCTTTTATCTTGGCAATGTGGTACAATTTCATGAATAAAATGCAGTGGCATAAAGTTTTATGTAATAGGAATGACTCGACAGCTGTGTTCTTGATGTCTCTCCCCATCTTCAACCTTTGTTGTACAGGTTGATTTTAGTTTCACACTGCCTGTGCTATTTATTTTATCTAAATGTCAAATATATTTTTGTTGTAGTATAATCTGTGCCTAGGGGCCTTCTTGGTGTTAACTTTGTCCATACAATATGCTTGATAGGGGTGGCAGTGGGCCGAGCCGAGCCGGCTCGCCTCGATAACCCACGAGCTCAGCTCGGGCGGGGGGGGAGCCAAGCTCGGGCTCGGCTCACGAGCTCGTGTACTCATGAGCGACGAGCTCGTGAATTTTTATTTTTATTTGTTTTGCAAAATTTTCAAATTTTATTGATAAAATTTTAATTTTTTCCATTTTTTTGGACGAGCCGGCTCGTGAGCTCGGCCCACGAGCCACTCGTCGAGCTCGATGAGCTGAGCGGGCTCGGCTCGTTGGACGCTACCCCCCGCTCGGCTCGAGCTCCGGCTCGTCATTTGACGAGCTCGCGCATCCCAAGAGCCGAGCTTTGACGAGCCGGCTCGGCTCAATTGACATCCCTAATGCTTAATGAGGATTTCTTGGAGAATGTGATTTAAAATTATAGAGAAAAGTTATTCGATGTGGGATGCAATCCAACAATTATGAGAAGAGGAAATGGGAGAAAAGGAGGGGGAAGAAAAGGAAAGGGAAAGACAGGAGGGAGATAAAAAAATGAAGAATTAGACAGATGGAAGCATAATTTAAGAGAGAATATTTTTATCTCATTATCGAAGTTGTTTATTACAAAGGAAAAATTCCTTTATATATAGAGTTTAAACTAATCCTAGTTGAAGTAGGAAAATCTATGAAATCAAATACTAATTATGTTTCAAAAGATAATCATCTAATATGGAAGCTTAAAAAAAAAAAAAGAAAAAAAAACCTATCTCTGGTGATTTCTATCATTTCTTCTAGACTGGAAGAATTGGACTCCAACGAAATAGATTGCAGCTTCTTAACCAATGAGAATGGTCTTTCTTCCAAACCAAATAAAGATGCCACCTATTTATCAACAACTGAACCAGAAAAACATTTCCAAGCATCTGTTTAGATGAAGGTGAACGATCTTTTCTTTTAACCAATTAGCAACAAGGAACTCTAAGCATCAACAACCTGTGCAATTCATTCACAAAAACTATCATAAAATTCGCATGAGGAGCACCATGCACTAACACAACAGACTAATCTGCAAAAACAAATGATTGCAACAATAATGGCTTGACGGTGATCGATCCATATCGAAAATATCAAACCACCTTCAAGAATAGAACTTGGATCGATCACTTGCAACAATAAAACTTTTATGTAAGTTTAATGATTAGTCAATTAGATTAAGTCAAGTGATCGATCCAATTTTATTTTCTTTACATGTTTAGAAAATCATGCTAAAAATGCACGTATCAATGCATAAACATCATCGTGAAAGTATTTGTACCTAAGGGTTTTGATGGTTGTACACCGAATGTACATCCCCCTCACAAGAGAGGGGGGCCGGCGTCCAATAAAAAAATAGCAAGCCCCCCTCTTGTGAGTGGGCTGTACTACGTGAAGCAAAACCCTTGTGCCTAAACTATGCGTGAAATGCATACCACTAATTTCATGAGTGAAAATAATTTATCTTTTGATCTTTGCATGAAAATCAATGAAGTATGGAATTAAAAGCATGATAATTGTAATTAGCAGGCAACAATCGAATGCCGATAGCAAAAATGTGTAAATCAATGAACTTGAAAAATGTGTGGTTGAAAATGAGTTTGAAGAAAAATGAGTTGAATCTTTGCTAAACAGGAATAATAATTTTAACTGAACTAGTAATTATTGTTTGATTGGATTTGGGTGTGGGGAGATGGGGAAGAATATACTATACTAAAATAATGCAATTCTTCTTGATGTAAGGGTCACATACACTATTTTCCCCGTACTCATCTTTAGGTTCATTTGGCTCAAAGTAATGATGCGAAATATGCACCTTGAGATGAATGGGAAAGCTACTATTTGCTTTTGACATGTTTGAGATGTCGTGATTATTTGTTTTTCGATTTTTTATGCTTCGTAGTGGAGTTAATATTTCATGTCTATGGCTTTTTGTGTCTTTTATAGGTTTTTTTTTTTTTACCATTTTATTTTAATTCTTTTTATGTATTACATATATGGGTACGTGGAGGTCCCCTCCACACGTAGCCTTTTATTTTAAAAGGAAGAAAATGAAGAGAAGTACTGATATATTACGACAAGGCCGGCTCTAAGATTTTGGGAGCCTTAAACCAATTTCAAATATGGGACTTATATATATGTAAAAATGCACATAAAATTTTTAAAAAAAACTTTTTTATGAGCCTCTCATCGAAGTGGGGCCTTAAGCGATTGCCTACCCTGCCTATAGTCAGAGCTGTTGAAGTAGGAAAATCTATGAAATCAAATACTAATTATGTTTCAAAAGATAATCATCTAATATGGAAGCTTAAAAAAAAAAAAAGAAAAAAAAACCTATCTCTGGTGATTTCTATCATTTCTTCTAGACTGGAAGAATTACAATTATCCAAAAAACAGTCTAACAATAACACATATTCGAACTTTCTATAGCAAATCTTCTGTATTGATGGTCAGAACTACATACTTGTTCATAACTCCTGAAAATTTTTGCATCAAAAATCTACATAATTAAGTCTTATAGGAATTTAATATAAAATTATAAGGAATAGTAAAGAGTAAAGGGTATTATGTAAATTAAAGTGGATGACGTTATATAATTTTTTATTTAAAAGATTTTCATTTGCATTATCAACAATATAAGATAATACAAAGGTTGGAGGCGGATTTTGTGGTTTTTGTGAATGCAGGCAAGATGGAAGAAAAGAGAGCAAAAGGGGGTCTAGGGTTCCAAATACCAAATGAGCAATTGTCATACTAGAGTTTAAATTGTCTAATAGAAAAATGACTAGACTACTAAAACTACCATTCTATCCTTTTAGCAATATAAAATAACAAAATCACCTATATTAACTGATTATGCTAGCATCCTCTCTCAAACTCATGATGCGACAGCAAAAAGTAGCAAGTTTATTAATCAAAAATAAATATAAAAAAAAAGCTAGGATAGTGGAGTTTCATCTACCTTCGGTTTTGAAAGGATGGTAGTTGAGCTAATTGTTTTTTGAGCTCTTCGAAGGCCTCTTGGCATTCCTGAGTATGCCAAAGAATGGTTTACATTGATCTGTGACTTTGGAGACGAAATGATTGGGAGAGGTTGTTCTTCTAGTGAGACTTCATCAAACAACTTGGCTCAATCTTTTCCTCCGTCCCTTCAGATTGCCTGTTTTGAGTTGGACTAGCACGATCATTCCTTAGAGTTCTTTTTATGTATTACATATATGGGTACGTGGAGGTCCCCTCCACACGTAGCCTTTTATTTTAAAAGGAAGAAAATGAAGAGAAGTACTGATATATTACGACAAGGTCGGCTCTAAGATTTTGGGAGCCTTAAACCAATTTCAAATATGGGACCTATATATATGTAAAAATGCACATAAAATTTTTAAAAAAAACTTTTTTATGAGCCTCTCATCGAAGTGGGGCCTTAAGCGATTGCCTACCCTGCCTATAGTCAGAGCTTGCACTTTATTACAATTATCCAAAAAACAGTCTAACAATAACACATATTCGAACTTTCTATAGCAAATCTTCTGTATTGATGGTCAGAACTACATACTTGTTCATAACTCCTGAAAATTTTTGCATCAAAAATCTACATAATTAAGTCTTATAGGAATTTAATATAAAATTATAAGGAATAGTAAAGAGTAAAGGGTATTATGTAAATTAAAGTGGATGACGTTATATAATTTTTTATTTAAAAGATTTTCATTTGCATTATCAACAATATAAGATAATACAAAGGTTGGAGGCGGATTTTGTGGTTTTTGTGAATGCAGGCAAGATGGAAGAAAAGAGAGCAAAAGGGGGTCTAGGGTTCCAAATACCAAATGAGCAATTGTCATACTAGAGTTTAAATTGTCTAATAGAAAAATGACTAGACTACTAAAACTACCATTCTATCCTTTTAGCAATATAAAATAACAAAATCACCTATGTTAACTGATTATGCTAGCATCCTCTCTCAAACTCATGATGCGACAGCAAAAAGTAGCAAGTTTATTAATCAAAAATAAATATAAAAAAAAAGCTAGGATAGTGGAGTTTCATCTACCTTCGGTTTTGAAAGGATGGTAGTTGAGCTAATTGTTTTTTGAGCTCTTCGAAGGCCTCTTGGCATTCCTGAGTATGCCAAAGAATGGTTTACATTGATCTGTGACTTTGGAGATGAAATGATTGGGAGAGGTTGTTCTTCTAGTGAGACTTCATCAAACAACTTGGCTCAAGCTTTTCCTCCGTCCTTTCAGATTGCCTGTTTTGAGTTGGACTAGCACGATCATTCCTTAGAGGAGGCGAATTTTGTGATCCTAATTGATAAAAAATGCTTCCGATTCTCCTAGCAGTTCGTCCTCTTGATGTGGGGGTATATCTCAACTCGTCCATCCCGCTCTTTGTGTTTTTGGCCTCTGACAATGATTCTATCTCGGTCTTTACAACTCAGTGGTTTGATTTTTCTCTATCGTACAACACTTGTGAGGCTTTCTATAGCCTCTCTCTCATGGTAGATAGTTGGAGATTTCCGACCTCGGTAAAATTATCACCACCATGGAGGTTGTTGAAAAGATTGATGTTATCAAAATTTAAATAAGAATGATTTTTTGATGAATAATGCTGAGTGTACAGCACCTATTGTACACTCTTTTTGACAGCTCACTCACAATTGTGGGATCCGCGATTATTTTAATCGTGGCCCACCACTTGTATGTAAGAAGGTTATCAACCACGATGTCAAAATTATTGTACTTGTAGCATAATTCTTTCTTGATATAGTATTGTGACTCATCTTTGTTGGACGAGTTGATTG